TCACAGTACGATCTCACAGACAGGGACAAAAAGAACGATCACCAGGTGGAAGGGAAAATGTGAGATACTTTGGCATGTGCACATCAGAAATACCCAGATAGGGAGGGGTGCAGGGGCTCCAGGGGGTTACAGAGATATTGAGGGGGTGTAGGGGCTGGAGGAGGTTAAAGAGATAGGGAGGGGGTGTAGGGGCTGGAGGGGGTTACAGAGATAGTGAGGGGGTTTAGGGGCTGGAGGGGGTTACAGAGATAGTGAGGGGGTGTAGGGGCTGGAGGAGGTTACAGAGATAGGGAGGGGGTGTAGGGGCTGGACGGGGTTACAGAGATAGGGACGGGGTGTAGGGGTGGGAGGGGGTTACAGAGATAGTGAGGGAGTGTAGGGGCTGGAGGAGGTTACAGAGATAGGGAGGGGTTGGAGGGGCTGGAGGGGGTTACAGAGATAGGGACGGGGTGTAGGGGCTGGAGGGGGTTACAGAGATAGGGAGGGGTTGGAGGGGCTGGAGGAGGTTACAGAGATAGGGAGGGGTTGGAGGGGCTGGAGGGGGTTACAGAGATAGGGACGGGGTGTAGGGGCTGGAGGGGGTTACGGAGATAGGGAGGAAGTGTATGGGCTGGAGGAGGTTGCAGAGATAGGGAGGGGTTTAGGGGCTGAAGGAGGTTACAGAGATAGGGAGGGAGTGTACGGGCTGGAGCGGTTAACAGAGATAAGGAGGGGTGTAGGGGCTAGTGGGGGTTACAGACATGGGAGCGGTGTAGGGGGTTATAGAAATAGAGAGGGGTGTAGGGGATGGAGGAGGTTACAGAGATAGCGAGAGTGTGTAGGGGCTGGAGGGCGTTACAGAGATAGGGAGGGGTGTAGGGGCTGGAGGTGGTTACACAGATAGGGAGGGGTGTAGTGGTTGGAGGAAGTTACAGAGATAGGTTTGGGGTGTAGGGGCTGGTGGAGGTTACAGAGATAGGGAGGCGGTGTAGGGGTTGTAGGAGGTTACAAAGATAGGGAGGTTGTCGGGGTTGTAGGAGGTTACAAATATAGGGAGGTGTGTAGCGTCTGGAGGGGTTTACTGAGATAGGGAGGGGTCTAGGGGCTGGAGGAGGTTACAGAGATAGGGAGGGGTTGTTGGGGCTGAAGGAAGCTACAGAGATAGGGAGAGTGTGTACAGTCTGGAGGAGGTTACAGAGATAGGGAGGGGGGAGGGTCTGGAGGATGTTACAGAGATAGGGAGCGGGTGTCGGGGATGGAAGAGGTCACAGAGATAGGGAGGGGTGTATGGGCTGGAGGAGGTTTCAGCGATAGGGATGTGTTGTAGGGGATGGAGCAGGTTACAGAGATAGGGAGTGGGTGTACGGGATGGAGGAGGTTACAGACATAGGGAGGGGGTGTAGGGTCTGGAGGATGGGACAGAGGTGGGGGGGTGGTTGTAGTGGATGGAGGAGGTGAGAGAGATAGGGAGGGGTGTCGGGGCTGGAGGGGGTTGCAGAGATAGGGAGGGGTGTAGGGGCTGGGGGAGGTTACAGAGATATGGAGAGGGTGTAGGGACTGGAGCAGGTTACAGAGATAGGGAGGGATAATATGGAATGGTGGAGGTTCCAGAGATAGGGAGAGGTTGTAGGGGCTGGAGGATGTTACAGAGATAGGGAGGGGTTGTAGGGGCTGGAGGAGGTTGCAGAGATAGGGAGGGGTTGTAGGGGCTGGAGGGGGTTACAGAGATGGGGAGGGGTGTAGGGCCTGGAGGAGGTTACAGAGATAGGGAGAGGGTCTAGGAGTGGAGGGAGTTGCAGAGATAGGGAAGGGTGATGACAGTGGGGGAGGTTACAGAGATAGGGAAGATGTGTAGGGGCTGGAGGAAGTTACAGAGATAGGGAGGGGTTGTAGAGGATGGAGGAGGTTACAGAGATAGAGAGGGGGTGTAGGGAATGTCGGAGGTTACAATGATAGGGAGGGTTGTAGAGGCTGGAGGAGGATCAGAGATAGGGAGGGTTGCAGGGAATGGAGGAGGATCAGTGATAGGGAGGGGTGTAGGGGCTGGAGGAGGTTACAGAGATAGGGAGGGGATGTAGGGAATGAAGGAGGTTACAGAGATCGAGAGGAGTGTAAGCGCTGGAGGAGGTTACAGAGATTGCGAGGTGTTGTAGAGGATGGAGGAGTTTGCAGAGATCGGGAGTGGTGTAGGGGCTGGAGGAGGTTACAGAGATAGGGAGGGGGTGTAGGGGCTGGAGGAGGTTACAGAGATAGGGAGAGTGTGTACGGTCTGGAGGGGGTTACAGAGATAGGGAGGGGATGTAGGGGCTAGAGGGCGTTACAGAGATAG